GTTTGTTGAAGACGTCTAATGTTACCAACTCTCTCTTTAGAAAAAACAAAACAAACTCTACCAACGTTTTAAAAGTTTTAATCTTTTAATATTTCCTTCAGAATATATCTGTCTATCTTCAAAGGTACGGATTAATTCGTAAAGATGAAGTCTACGGAATAACTAAACGAATTTTTTATCAACTTTCAAGTTTTGTCGGTTCTCCATATGAAAGAACAATATTTACCTTCGAAAAGTATCAGAAGATATTTGAAAGATTTCTTTTTTTTCTACGACTACTTTCATTCCTTCCTCACTAAATTTCTGTCAGAGCAAACAGGCTTCCGGGAAAATGAAGACTCTGAAACGTAATTAAAGAAAAATCGCCAAATGTTTGTGTATTATATTACCGATAATATTTCCGCCGAGCCTGGAGAAACAGCAGAAAATAAATGTTGGATTAAATAATTTTGAGAACCTAGTAGACTTGCGGAAAATATTGATTTAATTCTGAAACACTGTATAACAAGCCATATCCATTATACAAGATTAAAATGTCTTATGACCGTCGTAATTTAAATATGAGAAGGTAAAGTAAAAGAAAGAATTTTATCTTGAAACAAAATAGTTAAAACGTATTTAATTTGTTTTGATTCTATAAATGCTTTGTTTGTTTGCTTGCTTCGGATATTCGCGCAAAGATACGAAAGGGCTATCTGTCCATAATTTCGAACTAATATACTAGTGGGAAGGCAACTAAACAACTAAAGCAACCTCTAACGCTTAGGCTACTGTAATCGAACAGTGGCGGTTGAACGTCACTCTTATAACGCACTTACGTCTCCAATGTACGAAGTATGATTTTGCGGTAACGGGACGCGACACAGGGATCCAAAATACGGCATGCTAACTACTAGTCCAAGCTCGGCCCTTCCGTTGCTGAAAGATAAGGAAGTAGAATTCAGTGTCTGTAGATTTCCATGGTAACTTAATAACACCCAAAACGAAATAGTTCAGATTTGTAAAGTTTGTTGAAAATTACGGTTTTACCTACTACCTTTTTTATTATATCTTGTACAGCATCAAAATAATCATGTTAGCAGCATATGTTATAAAGAATATACTTATATATATATATATATACACCTATAAACATTACACAACAGCATCTTATTACTAGGATGACATTAACAACATATGATTAAGACAAGCAGGCCTTAAACAAAAAGCGTTACACCTAAAAATGAGAGAAATCAATATATATATATAAGGTGCGCTTTTAAGAATACATGACACATACATTATATGTATGGAAACTTGTGATTTAAAAATTGGAATTGAAATTGAAGTTTTCATTCTGAACGTTACCTTATGTAAACATGGACTAAACTACTAGGTCAAAGACGCCTACGTTTCGGATTTAGCCCTCTATAGTTTTGAACTACTGAACAGAGGAAAGGCATCCAGCCAGCATCACTCGCCGCCAAAATGGTTTTGTCTGGTTTTTTGAATCGAATAACGGGATTAACTCTCACTTTTATTACGCACTCACAGCTTAAATTGAAGAGCATATTCGACGGCATTACACTTCTAGCACCGAAGTCCTTGATCCTCAACCCTACACGCTAATTATCAGCCCATACTTCCATTGTTTTCAAAGATATATTTTATGAACAAGAACGTGGAGTAATTATCTTCCTTTCTATACGAACTGTTCTCCTTCAGAATAGAGGGAAAATATGTGAAGTATTAACTTGTTAAGTATTAACAAACACTTAAACCCTTTCACCAGTATTTGGTGTTGAGAAGCCCAACTTCATATATTTCAAGACTATGCTTTACTTCGTAATTAATGCAAGATTCTAAACATAATTAAAAAAAACACTCGTTTGACTGGCACTATCTACAAACATACGCTCCAATGTTATTCAACTTTTAAATAGCCAGATAAAGTAATTACTTTCGGTGACATTCTTCACAAAAAAGGCACACACTAGAAGACTAGCAAATTGGTGAAAAATAGTTGTTTCCGTACCAAACAGAGATTAACACAGACATATTTAATTACGAAACAGGTATAAAAGAACAAAATGTGAATAGTTCTATACATCAATCCTATTCAGCTCTCAATCTCAAATGTACAGATTAAACCCATACTATGAATAATTTTATAAACCAGTGTTTTAACATGTCATTGTACAAACGTTCATTCATCATTCTCAAACGAACAGAAAAACCACAAACCAGGAATAAATTTGTAGATCAAAGCTTTAAAAAATCATTTACAAAAGTTAAACAGTTATTCTCAAACGTACTGAACAACCCCAAACAAAGGAATAATTTTATTGATCAATGTTAAACAAATCTTGTACAATAGTTAAACCATCACTCTCAAACGTACTGAACAACCCCAAACTAAAGGAATAATTTTATAGATACAATGTTAAACAAATCTTGTACAATAGTTAAACCATCAACTCTACAAACGTACCTAGAACAACCCAATAAG